TCTTATAGGTTACTGCTGACTGCTCTTGTCCCTAGCCCTGCAGAGAGTGAGAGAGAGAGAATTATAATATTGGGGGAAGTTCTTAAGGCTCTAATAAATATAGAACCCAATTTAATTTATTAAAAACATCTATATCACAAATCAAGGGTTCCATCTGCTTATTGCCTACTCATTTTGGAAGTTGTAGCCTAAGGGTGCTACAAAATGCCTAAATGTTTGCAGTTAGGCTTGTGTTGTTCTGACTTCTGATTGGCTGGTTTCCTCATTGTTACCAAAGCTTATTCAACTAAGGGCTAGGCAAAACTAGTTAAATAAATGATTTGTTTTCAAAATAAGTCAGAATGCAGGCTAGAGCAACCTTTCTGATTTTTTTCCCCTTGTGATCAACATACAGGTTAGTGATTAGCGAATGTGCAATTACTATTTACTCTTTACCCATCATCAGCGACAGCAACCCTGTATAATCTTCACTGTCTTAGTTGGTGCGGGGGGGGGGGGGCACAAGTTGTAAGCTACTTGGTCCTGTATCTTCTAAATTCTTTCTGTTAGATCAATTCCTTATCCATAAAAAAACCTTTTTTCTTGATAACAGTTTTTTCAAGATTTCGTACTAATAAGAGTAGTTGTAATGTTCCAGCCTGAGATGTCCCATATACTATGGTGCCTAGAACTAGACGGTACACATGACCCTGTTCTGTGTGGAGGAGAAAGAATTTATGCTGACTTGGTCTGCACATGTAGCAATCATACTTAGCTACCTTAATTGATGTTTTCTTAAAGAGCCTTAAGCTATGCTCCTTTATTTATTATTTGCCAACCATGACTTTAGGCTTCATTTGGAGTCCTTTTAATCCTTTTATAATGAAATGCCAATTTTCTTATATAGTGCTCCGTAGAATTTTCTTAAGTTGACATCATTTCTCCTTTTCTGGTTATTACCATAGTGTGAGAACGGCCACATAGCATGTTCTTCTTGCTGTGTTAAGATTGTCAACAAATGTCCATCTTGTGCATGGCCAATCGGATATAACCGCTGTCGAGCTATTGAGAAGGTCATTGAGTGCATTAAAGTCTCATGCCGGAACGTGAATTATGGCTGTAAAGATTCCATCTTTTATAACAAGAAAACTGAGCACGAATCTGCATGTACCTATACTCCTTGCTCTTGCCCTTTTCGAAGTTGTGCTTTCATTGGCCCTTCACGGAAACTCTACACTCACTTTTCGCTTGGGCATAGAGCTTCAGCAAAAGATATCATTTTCAACACCTCAGAATCCATATCTCTAAAGAAGAACCAGAAATGGGTATATCTTCAAGAGAAGATTGAGGATACTATCTTTATAGTCAACCACCGCAATGAGCATCTTGGGAGTGCTGTCAATATAATTTGTGTCGCGCCTCCCTCGTCCCCCAGAAGGTTCCCTTATGACATTGTTGCAAGGAAAGGCAAGAGCTCTGTTAAACTGCAATCCGTTGCAGAGAACATCCCGAATTGGTCAGAAGAAATGGCTTTGAAAATATTCCTTCTGGTTCCAAATGATCTTTTGGATTCTTTTGGTGGGCTGGAGCTGGAAGTGTGCATAAAATTCTCCTGAAACCCCCACAGGTCAGTGTAGTACTCCGTATTTGCTGATTTGAACTCAGATTTGTTACTTCCCTCGTCTCGAATTATTTGTTCTAGTTTGACTTTTATGCTTACTTTGACCACAAATTAAATATAATGTCAAATAAATAAATTATAAAAATTTGATGTATCAAAGCTACATCTTAAAATGAACCCAGTCATATTAAATGTACATTATAGTTAAATATATTTTCCCCGGATTTATGGTCAAAGTTAGCATAAAAGTCAAACTAGAACAAATAAATTGGTACGGCGGGGCTACTATATAACATTCCGTATGAATTTCTTGTTATGTAAGATAAATTATGTAGATGTTATATATGAAGAAGTGTGATATGTTGCGTTCTCTTTTCTCCTTCTATTGTTCATATTGCTCCCCCATCCCATATTTAACATTTTTCTTTTATGGAGGTTCCAAAACAAAGTTCATACGGAGTTTAAATAAAGTTTTTAAGAAAAAAATTGTTTCATCCCTACTTCCTCCTTCCTCCGTCACAAAAAATTATTCAAAGACGAAAAAATATGTGTCCTAAAAATGTGTAATTTTAATATTATTTTTTAATTTTACCCTTACTATATAATAAGATAAGATATGATGTGTGGAATAGATTAATCATATTTAAAAAATAATATAAAAATTACTCTTTTTTAGTGTTTCCTTTTTTTTTCTTTGAAAAGTTTTCTGGGACAAAGGAAGTTCGACCTGACATAAAATGACCCGATTTGTTTTTGATCCAAGACTCAACTCGAAAATATTGGATTTTGAACAAAGGTTTTGCTGACCGAACTCGAAATGACCCAATAAAAACGGGTCAAACTCGACCGAATCCGAACCTGACGTGATCAACTCGCTAATGTAAGAATCTTTAATAATCATATATTTTGATATGAAATATAATGTTATAAAAATAAAATTATAATTATATTTCTTTGGCCTAGTTTGGCATCAGCATTAGAAATTAGCATTAGCGTTTTGAAAAAGCTATCTGACGGTAGTCTTTAGCATTAGCCTTTTTCGAATTAATCTACACTGTTAATATTTTATCTAAAATACTAACGCTAATTGAAAGTGCTCTTCCCAAGTAATGCTTTTGTTTACTACTCATTTTTTATGCATAAATTTATATTTTCATACAGAATTTTAATGATATCGCATAATTATCTTACATTTTATCAAAACTTTTGAATATTTAATTTTTTTATTCATATTATTGACACTGAGTCATAAAAATTACATAGAATTTCAAAAAAATAAATGAAAATCATAACTCATTGGATCGACTCGAACGTGATCACATTTGGTCATGAACATATAGTCCCTCCGTCCCTAAATATTCACAACATTTGCTTTTTCAGCTGTCGCGGGAACTTTTGTTTATTTCGACGTTTTCATTGGTTATTTGATAAAATAAAATATTCTTGACACCTCTTATTTCGAAGAACTTTTCATGTAGTTTTTTTATATGTAATTTTTATTTTTTATTTCTTTACCAATATTTAAATAAAATGAATTGAAAAAACTTGATATTTTGCCTCGGTAATAGAAATGTGACAAATAATTTGAGACGGAGGAAGTATTTTGAACTGGAACCCGAATTTATCCAAACTCGAAGTAACCCGAACCCAAGGTGATCGAACACAAACCCGATCGGAACGACCGACTTGTCCAACTCTAGGGGAAGTATTAATCTACACTCATTTGCATATAAATATTATATGCCCGAATCCACTTTTTTCTTGAATTACCTAATGGTATGTTTGAAAACATGGATTTGGATTTTAAATCCGGATTTGGCTTAAATTCCATGTTTGAAAAACTTAAAAATTTTTAATTTGGATCTGAGTCAAATTTTTCTCATTCATAACAAAGCTTAATTTGAAATCCATGCACCTCCATTTGTCATTTGAAATTCAAGATTTCAAATTTTGGAATTGAAATGCATGATTGAAATGAAATGTAAAAAAATCACAATTGGACACTTAGACATGAGACTGGAGGGAGTATAACTTTATAGAAACACCAATTCTCAGTGCAGATGCATTAAGAGTAAAATACTATAGAAACACCAGTTCTCTATTTAAAATTCTCTATTTATAAAAGATTGGAGGGAGTATAACTTTATAGATGCACTAAAGAGTAAAATATACTCCCTCCGTCCCGCTATATTCGTCCAATTTTGACTTTTGGAACTGTTCATCTAAGCACTTTGACTCATCAAATTCTCTCAATGTGTAAGCCTAAATATAGTCATGCGTGATCTTGTTTGATTTGTCTTAACATATACTCTGTAGATTATTAATATATAATTTCTATAATTTTTAAATATACAAATTACAAGATAAAATGAATTAAAGAAATGTATTCGATGGTATGCAAAAATGAAAGTGGACAAATATAGTGGGACGAAGGAAGTACAACCAATTAAAACATGTCGATAAGTGGACGATACTCTTACACTATGTTTGGTTCAAAGAATTCAAAAGGGAAAAGAAAAGAAAATGAAGTGGAAAACAAGTTTTCTTGTTTGGATAGAAAGGAAAAGTGGAAGGAAAAGAAAATGAGAAGGCAAAATGTACCAAGTGGAGGAAAAACCAAATTCCTCCCATTTTGGTAAGGAAAATGAGAGAAAACCATTTTCTTTTCTTTTCCTTCAAAATTCCTTGTACCAAACATAGTGTTAAAATCTAAGAGTACAATTTGAATAAAGTTTCGGGTTATGCTACACTTACACCACATATTGTACCCCATTTGTACACCGCAGGCATACACAAACATTTTGATGGTTTGTACTGACACAAGTGTTGGTACGTTAAACAAAAATTTACACGGACACAAAGTATTTGTGCATTAACAAAAATTAGTTTTACACCAACACAAAGTGTTGGTGCAAAACTGCGGGGTACAAAGTGGGGTACAAAAACATGGGGTACAAGTAGCTTTATCCTAAAGTTTCACATCACATTACACGGACAACTAAATTCTCCCTCTTGTAACAATCATATTTAAAGTCTAAGAGTACACTTTGAATAAAGTTTCTTATACACCAAAAGTTATATCTAAATTGTACGTCACATGCATTTACCGTTACTTTGATAATTCGCACTGACATAAAATATTACTACAAATTTTTTTATAACATTAATATTTTGTATCTGTATTAACCATCAAATTGTCTCTGAGTACTTGTGGTATACAACTTGAAGTACACCCCTTAACGTACCCCTTGGTACAATTTGTATCATTATTATTACACAAAAATGCAAGCCCTTCCACATCATATTACACGTACAACTAACTAAACTTATTGATGAATGATAAACGTAACTCTTTGGTGTGGAATTGGGCAACCATCAATCGTATCAGTTGTACATTTTAGAACATACCACTAATTAATTGAAGTCTTCCGATGGGTCGATGAGTGTCTTATTTAATCCAGGAAAACTTGTTCAATGACTTTGAGCATGACATCTCTAGGCTTGCAAAGAGCTTCAAGAGTGTGGGCCTTAGCCAAGGTAGTCCCAGAGCATTCACAAAGGTCAATTTTCCCAGCGCTTGGCCTTTCCCAATCAAAGCACTGAATGAGTGACCCTACGGCCAACCCTACAAACTTCTGTGCCAGTCCAGCACCAGGGCAAGCCCTTCTTCCCATCCCAAATGGCAACAATGTTTGGGTCTCAATTTCCTTTATGTTTTCGAACCTTTCTGGCCTAAAGTTCAAAGGGTCTTCATGCCACACCTTAGGATCCCTATGGACTGCCCACGCATTGACCAGCATCATTGCATCTGTTCACATGTGAAATTCCATTTAAAAAAAATGTTAAAATCGTCTCATCTTTTATTCTTATACCTTTTCATGAGCTATTCACAAGTATTGAATAATAAACTCGATCGATATAAACCCCACTAAAAAGGACTACTCCCTCCGTCCCGGAAAACATGAAAGTTTTGTTTTTTAAGGGGGATTTAAGGGAAGTGTATTTTAGTATTGAATTTACAAAAATGTCCTTTGATGTGATGGGTAAAAGTATGATTTGATGGATAGATCGATTATTAGTAAAAAAGTATGATGCGATAGGTAGAGTATGAAAAAGTAAGGGGTAAAAGTGACTTTTTAATAGAAATGAGAAATGTTTTTTGGGACAGATGAAAAAAGAAAGGAGAAAGATTTTCTGGGACAGAGGGAGTATATATCAAAGAACAAGCGGCTCAACCATATATAAGTTCAATTAATTAAGATTGCGATTGTGTAGACTTAAGAAGGTCAAAGAATTCAGTCAGTCATAAGTTCAAACTTGTGATTTATTATACGTACCCTTAGGGACATCGTAGCCTCCAATGGTAACATCCTGCGACGGCACGTGAGGGACCAAGAGTGGGACCGAGGGAAACAACCTAAGAGTCTCGAGAATGATGTAGTGAAGGTAGCGTAGTTTGGGTAAATCTTCTTCTTCAACTAGCCGGTCGTGCCCGACACGTTCGTCCAGTTCTTGTCTCGCCTTCTTTAGCACCTCCGGATGGTTCAATAAAAGTGTCATTACCCACTCTGTGGTAACAACCGATGCATCTGTTCCTGCTATTATTATTGCCTATATTCAACAAATTTATTGCATGTCAAGTATATATCATTGCTAAACAATGAACGACTAATTCAATCTATACTAATTGTGTACGTTTTAGAAAAAACGTACACAATTCAAGCTTGTAGTTGAAGATTTAGAAAGTGTTTTAAACTCTGACAATAATTAAGATACTCAGTAAAAATGAACTTAATTAATCAATCCAATAATTAAATATATATATATACTCACAATGATGAGGCCAGTAATGGTTTCATCGGTGTAAGATTTAGGCTGGGATTGTTGGAGAGCAAGCAAACGATCAACCATGGTGTTCTCCCGTTGCTCCGTTATTTGACGGCGGCGGTGTTGATTCAGCAAGGCACTCATGAACTCGTCCGTTTTCCGTGAGTGAGCCGTCAACTTCTTCTCCAGACCGTTAAAACCTAACCATCCCAACACCGGAAAAATCTCGCCGGGGTTGGAAGCGCTGGTCAACTCCAGCGCCTCCTTGGTCAACTCCCGGAATGTTTTCGCCTCCTCGTCGTCCTCCGCCTCCTCCCCGTAGTACCTCTTCCCCGCCACCATTCTCATTATGTTGTTGAATGTCAACTCGACGATCTTATTTTCCACATTCACCTGCGAATAATTAAATGAGAAATTTACCTAAATAATACTAAAATATAATGATTTTCCCAATATAATACCATATGTTTTTATTTCCCAATGTAGGACCTTTAGTCATTATCAATTAGTCATTATTCAACTAAATGTTCATGATTACTGGACATTATTCCTTCTACTAGGTCATTATTAAGTCCTATTTAGGGAATAACAAAGTTTAAGTCCTACATTATGAAAGTCATTATATTTTAGTTCTATTTAGTGCAAATTTCACTAATTAAATTATGTCATGTTGGATTATTTGCTCATCTACCCTCTGGCAAATATATTTCCAAATGTTTTTTTGTTCGAAAAAGATCTTTTATTACTTTTTTTAAAATTTGAAGTACCATAGCTATACTCACTTTCTTTATTTAACTACTACAAAAAAGTCTTTTTGAATCGTTTTTTTTACTTTTGTATCGGTTCTTTATCGATGCAAAAGCTTGCAATGCAATTACCGGAAAAAAATTTGCATCGGGTATTATTAGATCTCATCCAAAACTCCTCCCACTTTTATTTAAAGTGAGTATTTTAATTTGATGAAATTTAACATTTTTTGAGCTCTCCTTAAATAGCGTGAAAAATCCATTTGGGAAGTTTTTCCCAAAGGGAGGGAGTATATGTTCTAACATGTCTCTAACGTTCATGTGAAATTTAGTTTTACTCGAACCTTGCATATAAACAAAAAAATAAGCATAGTGGCAATCAATTTCAATCTCGTGAATAAATTTAGTTTTGAAAGGCACACATGTTAAAATAAAAAAAATCATGTACGTATAGCTACAAACTTAAGCTTGTGGTTACGTTTCTTATTTATATATATGGTATCAAAGTGTTGTTGAGATTTCAAAGTCACGAGTTTAAATTTTACCTCTTTTTAAAAAAATATTTACATGCAAGACTTGAGTAATTGAGTAAAAATAAACTATTAATTGTTGGTCTATATAGAAAAGAAATACTCCATCCGTTCTAAAAAAAGTTCTTATTTTGACCAAGTGTAAAAATGAGGAAGTGTTAAATTGTAGTTGGCTTCCAATTTTGTCCTTGATATGATGGGTAAAAGTAAGATGTGATAGATAGATTATTAGAGAAAAAATATGATGTGATAGATAGGGTATGAAAAAGTAAGGGTAAAGTATTTTTTTATAGAAAGTGGAAGTGTTTTGTTGGAAATGAAAGAAGAAGTATTTTTGAGAACGGAGGGAGTACAAAGTACTTAGTAATGTACATACCTTGGCAAATTTGCCGCTCGACGAGATCTTGTACAGACTAGATATCATGCGGTTCCTCTCGTCTCGTCTGATCGAGAGAAACGACGTGAGACGAGTAGGGGAAAAGATTTCAAGATCGCACAACTTGCGCAAGTTGCGCCAGTGGTCCCCGTAGGGGGCCCCGATCACACTCGTGGGGCTGAACCCCAGCGACGTGCGGTCCACGGACGTTCGCGGGCGGTTCGCGAGCAGAATGTCGTTCTTGGAGAAGCACTCCTCCACGAGCACGGAGGACGAGACCACCACCACGAGGCGGGGGCCGAAGCGGAGGGAGAATATGGGCCCAAGGGTCTTGGAGTAGTCGTACAAGGTCCTATGGAGGAGGGTTTTCAAGAGGTGGGCGTGGCCTATTATGGGGAGGCGGCCGGGCGGGGTTGGGGGCAGGTTTTTGTGTGTTTTTTTGGGAAGAAGTTTATGAACGGCGGCTACGAAAAACAATATGGCAATTATGAGAGCACAAGCCGTGTACACCATTTGTGCTTCCATTTTTAGATTACAATTTTGAATGAAGTTAGATATATGCACGTTTGTGTACATATATATAGGGAGAGAATTTGGGGTTGGTATATTTCATCCTCATGGGATGTATCCTTCCGTCCATTTTCCTCGAAACACCTTACGTGTGTTTGTCTCTGTTGTTTATTATAAGAGTAATTTATTTAAACAACACTAAAACAGTTTAGGGACATTATTAAGTGCTATTTAAGGAATAAAACAGTTCAAATGCTATTTAGAGAATAAAATAGTTCAAGTGCTATTTAGCCATTTAGGAAAATGACTTAAGTTTTAGTGCTATTTAGTGCAAATATTTCTTATTATAAATTAGTCAAAAGTGTTTATAAGTAGTTTTAAGTTTATAAATTAGCATATTATATATTTTTGTGTGCTTATAACTTGACTTATGAGATGCTTATAAATCATAAAAAATAAGGTCTTAGAGGGTGTTTGAGTGTGATTAACTTGTGGATAAAGTGATTTCCACAAAAGCTGAAAGCAGAAGCACCTCATACTTGCTTCTCCGAAACGGTGTTCTATGTATAAATTAGTGGTGGTTAAAAGCAGAAACATGTCAAACAGAGTAAAATCACTTTTACTCAAAACAGAAGCTAAATTATTAAAAGCAGCGCACTGCCAAACACCCTCTTAGTTACTACTCCATTCGTTCTCAATTACAACATTCTCTTAATTACAACACGCTATATTCTTTTTAATTATGTCCCAAAAAAGTATTAAATACATACAAATATATTATTCTAAAAACAATAATAGATTATGTAGTCTCTTTAATGTTGGGGGTATGTACCAAATGGTCTACTCCATCTCTACACCAGCTTTTCTCATTATACATTTTTTATTCATTCATTAATTTTTTTTATGAACATTTAAATTGTGTGGTAGAAATGGTGTGGAATACATATTTTAAATTGCGCCTAGTATTTTTGTTCTTTTAAATAAACTTTAATCACCCTTTTTTACAACATATTTTTAAAATTTGTGAAGTCAAGCACTCCATATTAAATACCGAGTATAATTCAAATTGAGCGGAGGAAGAAGACTAGTTGTGGACGCTACCTCCCCTAGCGAGTATTCCTTAGTTTAGCAGTCACAAAAGAGGGGCTACGTTTCTTTGACTCAAAATGTTTCTAAATAAGGGTTAATTGTATCTGAAAACGGAGAAAAGTTTAGACTCATATTAGATCAGATCTAATCACATCAAATTAGATCATATCAATTCAGATCAAATTCAATCCATTAAGATCATATTAGATCTAATCAGATCGAGAAAAAATAATAAAAATTTTTTTAAAAAATTAAATAATACTTCTTCCTTCTCTAAATATTTGCAACATTTGCATTTTCAGCAGTCGCGAGAATTTTTGTTTATTTATACGTTTTCATTGGTTATTTGATAAAATAAAATATTCTTAACATGTGTTATTTCGAAAAACTTTTCATGTAGTTTTTTATATGTAAAATTTATTTTTTATTTTTATACCAATAAGTAAATAAAATGAATTAAAAAAAGCTTGATATTTTACCTCAGAAATACAAGTGTGACAAATATTTAGGGACGGAGGGAGTAATTAATTACTATTTGATTAAATCACATTACTTTATTTAAAGCTACACGCCTACGTATGAAGTGTTAATTAATACTCCGTATTATAACTTTAAATATGTCAACTATTATTATTCTTGTTATTATCATTATTACTCCCTACTATTGTAGGACGGATAGAGTATTATTATTGTTATTATTATTATTTTTATTAGGGCAAGGATCTTTTGACCTTGAAACCTCGGGTCATATTATGACCCAGACACCTACGGTACCTCATTCGTAAAATAGATGGTTTCTACCCCTTAAATCGTACCCCACATGTCCCCTACCTGCCCACCCCTCCATAGCTCCCCCTTGCCATCATCTCCATTTCACTGATTGGCTACAGTATATTTAAAGAAAATGTTTAAATATATTAATGATTAGCTATTGTTAATAATTTTCTTATTCTACTTTTTTCTATGTATATATGAATTATAATACTTTAAAAATATTAAATTTCTTCTAAAAATTATAAGTTAAATTTAAATCAAGTTTAAATTCAATTATACAGATTAGATCAAATCTAATCAGGTCAGATTTAATCACATTAGTCTAAAGAAAAATTTTTATAATTTGATTACCCATGATTTCTATTAGACCTACGAATGATGTTTATGATTTTTATGGATTTAGATTGAATCGCTAAAATAAAATGATAATCCTAAAAATGCACCTTTAATGCCCTTTTTTGTTGAAGTATTCCTTTTCTCTGTTCTATTGCATCTCTAGTTACATCCAACCACATCAGATCTAATCAGATCCAATCAGATCACATCGGATCTAATTAAGTAAGAACTTCAAAAATTTAGGTCAAGCCTACAGATCAGAGCCTTAGTTTCTATCTCTGAATGAATGGTCTTGAAAGTTTAAGTAGAAGCAAAAAATAGATATTTTTTGTAGGAAAAATTACCCAAAATAATCCCAACTTTACCAGGTCTTTCAAAAATAATCACACCTTTCACTGTGATGCATAATAATCCCAACTTTATTGAAATTTGCCAGTTTTGGGTCACCGTTAAGTTTCTAACGGATGGTTAATGGAAATGCCCGTTTTAGGCAACAAAATGAAAGTTGGGATTATTTTTGATGAATTTTTGTTTTTTAATTTTTTTGAAATTTTTATTTAAAATTTTTGAATTACTTTCAACCTCCATTTCTTTTTCTTTTTTAAAGATTATTCTTACCTTAGAAAAAAATAGATATAAGAAATAATGAAAATGAGAAAATATCTAAAACCATACAAAATTAATCAAATAAATAATGTAATCGATAGAATTTAAACAAGAACTGGTAAGAAATAAAATAAATATATACGGAGTGGTGGGTTTTAACATTTTACATACTATACGGAGTCTTAATGTACTACTTATTTTTTAAAAGAACAAGCCGTCCGGTAAAGTTGGAATTATTGTAGATAATGTTTTCTAAAAAATAAGAAGTGATATGTTAATACGTTGTATAATGCATAAAATATTAAAACCCACTCGTATATTTTTATTTTACTTTTACCAATTTCAAGTTAGTTTTCATTGATTACCTAATTTATTTTATTATTTTTGTTTCATTTTAGTTACATTTCTCATTTTTTTTCATTTTTTATATCTATTATTTTTATTTTTTAAACTAAGACTAATCTTTAAAAAAGGAAAAAGAAATGATGACGGAGGTAGAAAGTAATTTAAAAAATTTAAATGAAAAATTTAAAAAAAAATTAAAAAAATGAAAATTCATCAAAAATAATCTCAACTTTCATTTTGTTGCCTAAAACGGGCATTTCCGTTAACCGTCTGTTAGAAACTTAACGGCGACCCAAAACTGGCAAATTTCAGTAAAGTTGGGATTATTATGCATCACAGTAAAAGGTGAGATTATTTTTGAAAGACCAGGTAAAGTTGGTATTATTTTGGGTAATTTTTCCTTTTTTGTAAAACAACCAACTTTCATTAATCAACAGAATCAGAAGGAACAAAATTCCAATTACCATTTTGGACTTCCACAATGAGATCCACCATTTTAAAAAATAGAAAATTTTAATCGTGCTTAAAATATTTTTGAAACTCATTTTAGACTATCAAGGTCATAATATATAAATAGAAATAGATTGACAAACTTAATAAAATATATTTTTAATGAAGTAAACAATCATTTTTAATGAAGTAAACAATCAAAAGAGTTTCTTAACACAACCTCAAACACTCTCAAACACATAAGAAAATAAAAGAAACTATTTTTCGTCCCAAAGGAAATCTTTATGGTCCTATTTTTTTTTTTTAAATCAATGTACACTTAAATCACGATTCTTTGATCTGGGCTATTTTGATCTTAAAATGACATGAGTCACCTGTGATGTTCCATCACATTCCACGTTATTCTCACTTCAACCCCCGACTCCCTAGACCACCGATTTGAGTGGGAGGAAGGGAAGTAAAGCGATATGAACCATCAATTTTACTAAAGTACCATTATAAATATCCAACATATCTGAATCATCCTCGAAGCATTTTTATGGCCGGTCAAAAGAATCTTGCCCAAATATTTATATGTTCACCATATATTGTGATAAAAAAATGTTTAGTTATAAAGAAATCGCCCAAATATTTATATGTTCACCATATATTGTGAAAAAAATGTTTAGTGATAAAGAAATTGCCTTAGGCCCTAATCGGCGTAGGAGTGTAGGACTGATCCTGCATGTCAAAACGTCCTTTTAGACCTATTTGATCTACCAACATTACTTTGGCCATTATTTTCTACTTTTCAAACGACTAACAAAATAAAAGATCGATAACCCTATCTCTGAGGACACCTTTTTAACTCGGGTGGACGATTATTGAGAGGAGGTATTCAACAAACTAAAATCGACCTGAATAATAAACTATAAAACAACAACAACCTAGTTAAATCCCACAAGAGTAGGGTCTGGGGAGGGTGTGTGTACGCAGACCTTATCCCTACTCGAAAGTAGAGAGGCTGTTTCCAAAGAGACCCCCGGCTCAACGTCGAAAGAAAATTATGTTTTAATAATAGATTTGGTAATAGGATATGATATTCATGATTTTAAAAAATTATGTTTAGACTTAACTTTTTTGTTTCATTGTTTAGACTTAACTTTTAGTTTTAAAAATGTAGTTGAAATTTATGTAGAAATTGATACTATTTAATTCAAAAAATAATCTAATGTAAACCCTTTTTGAGACCTTAAAAATAATGTAATTGACAAAATAATGTAATGTAATTTTTTTGTAAAAAAAATCTTTCTATGAATGTTTCAGAAAAGAAAGCACTCCCCGTATTAATTTCATATAAAGTATAATCTCTATAAAGAGATATTTACTCTCTTTGTTCCAAATTAGTTGTCTTTTTTGATCATGTGATAAAATAAAATAGGAATATCATATTTTATTTTGTAGAACTTTTTATGTAATTTTTAAATATGTAAGTTATACTTTTTTTTTTCCACTAGTATTTTAACTTGTGCAACGCACGGCTCAGAACGAAATTTTTATCAATTCAAAAAAATAATTAAATGTAATATTTTTTGGATTTAAGAAAATATATTCCTAGTAGGATTTTTAATGCTATCGACATCAACGTCAAAGTAGAATAAATAATATTTGAAGAGTTGTAAGAGAAGTGATAATGGGCATGACACTTAGCCACGTTAAGCTCATTTTGACGCCTGGGGGCGTTAAAACCGCCCCCTCCCCTGTTATAGTCCCGTTAAAATTGCTGCGTCAAATTTTGTAAGCAGTTTGAAGGCGTTGGAACGCCTTCTCCCTTTTTTTTTCTCCCTCTTTTTTCCTGTTTTCTACTCTATAAATTAAAATGTTTTTTTTAAAATTCAACACAAATACAAATCTCTCTCTATCTATCATCTTTTTTAAAAAAATTATTATACAAGTATTTTATTTATTTTTTCATGAATGTAAGTTTTTTATTTAATGAATATAATTTTTTCATTCAATAAATGTAATTTTTTATAATGAATGTAATTTTTTATTGAATGAATGTAATTTTTTTATAATGAATGTACGGAGTAATTTTTATAATGAATTATTCTCGTTTCAATTCTTTTAAATAATTAAATAATTAAATTTTATTAGTTTAGTTTTAGAAGATGTGTATTTAAAATGTAAAAAATGAAGGTCTGAAGCCCCAGTTTGAAGTCCTAGGCTTCAAACCCATTTTCACTGAAACTGTGAAGTATGTTAAAACTGACGTGGCAAAGAGAAGGTTTGACAATTAACACCCAACCACGAAATGCGAGAACACGTTTATGCATAATTCAATCACTATCTATCCAATGACAAGTAACACCCATATAAGAAAAATTATGATATGTTTCACTTCAAATATCAGAACAAATAGTAACACGAGAATTAAAAGTGACAAAAAAATTTTCCAAATTCATTTTTTCAACTTTATATTGTCTAATAATTTCTCTCTTAATTGTTTTTCTTGAAAAACCTCTTGCTTGAGGGTTTAATGCAAGTTGACAATAATCAATAAATCCAAGTTTTCAAAAAACATGAATGGCAAATGTTAGAGTATATAACAATCATTCCTGGGCCACAACCACAAGCTTGAGCTTTTGGTTGAGTTGGTTCCTTGACATGGTATCAGAGCTTTGATGACCAAAAGGTTACGAGTTCAAAACTCATCGCCACCCAGTTTAAAAAAATTAAGGTTTCATGTGCAAGGCTCAAATAGGTCACGCCTGCACGTGAGGGGGCGTGTTAGAGTATATAACAATCATTCTTGGGCCACAACCACAAGCTTGAGCTTTTGGTTGAGTTGGTTCCTTGACAGCAAATTTTCTTTACAAATCATTCGGACAGTTTTTGCTTATTTTTTCTCGTCGCTTTAAGCAAAAAGGCCGCCTTACCCTATTAGCAAATCGAGAAAATTGGGTTTGCACTTCTTGTCGTCCCTTCTTTTTCGCCGCGTATTTTGCGTACTCCACAGGGTGCCTCACTCATAGGTGTTTTTTCGGACCACCATAACCCTCGGAAATTCCCATTTTTATGACGGTTCCATAATATATACAAGTTCTAGAAACTTCACCATTTTTTGCTCTCCGGTGTAGGCTCCACGTCCATTTCTGCTTCATCAATGTCCTCGAATATATATCTTCAAGAGTTTGAAGATTGGCGTCCATCCTACCTTCCAAATAGTGTTCAAATTCTTGATCCGTCATAGCGTCGCCCACGAATTGATCAGGGATAGTAGAGAAGAAAAAGACAAAGTGTCTTCCTTGAAAACCACGTGAACTCGAACTGTCGGAGGTGGCTTTAGCTTTGCCTTTCTTCGAACCTCGGTTCACAACACCCATTTCCACGGACCTTCAGCCGGACTCTTTCGACATTTTAACATATTTTTATTTTGATAAAAAAGGACTATATTAGATATTTAAAATATTAATTATATACTGAATGTCAAAATTATAATACTCCCTCCGTCCCTGAAAACCTTTCTCCTTTTTTTTCATCCGTCCCAAAAAATACTTCTTATTTCTATTAAAAAGTCACTTTTACCCCTTACTTTTTCATACCCTACCTATCACATCATGCCTTTTTACTAATAATCTATCTATCAAATCTTACTTTACTCATCACATCAAAGGACATTTTTGGAAATTCAATACCAAAATATACTCCCCTTAAATCTCTTCAAAAAACAAAACATCCCATGTTTTACGGGACGAAGGGAGTATTAATTTATAATAATATGATATATTTGTAATATATGAATGTATGACTAAGAAATTAATATGAGAATATATGACTATAAAATGTATAAAGATTGAAGAGATATAATAGAGATGAAAGGATTGAGAAAAAAAGAATTTGAGATCTGAGGGGGATTTGAGAGTGGTATTCTAAAAAAATTTAGAAGATTATTTATAGTGTAATTGTGTAAACCCCGCCTCCCACTCAAACGGCTATAATGCCGTTGAGTGGGCCACTGGAGCTGCAGGCCTGCAAAGCAAAAGCAAGAAAAAAAAGTGAGCAATGCTAGGGGTACACCAAAGGTGTACCCCATTTGTCCCCCACCCCTTTCACCACCACTCATTTTTATCCCATTTTTATTTATTTAATTTTGTTTTAGTTTCTTGCACATTTTTGTGGTAATGGAGGGGGTGGGGGACAAATGGGGTACACCTTTTGGTGTACCCCTAGCATTTTTCAAAAAAAGTAAAACGGTACAGGAATCGATACCGGTATCACCGGTGCTGGTACCGAAAAACTGGCACTAGAAACAGTACCATGCGCGACGGTTTCGGTACTAGTTCCTAATTAAACCGGATCATCGTGCCCATCGCCGGTGATAGTGGCGGTACCGGCGGTGGTACCAGAGGCGGTAACGGTATCATACCGGTAACGCGTCCACCCCTAACGTACTCATATAATTATTTGCTTGTTAATTATGCTTTGTCCTTATTTTCTAAAAAAATATTATACTTTATTCTCGATTATAAATAAATAGAAGAGGAGGTGATTGGGGGAGATGATAGTGATGCTTAATGAACTTATAATAACAATAATAATAATAATGTTTTAAAAATAATTAATTTTAATTTTATTATATTATTTTTAGAGTTTTTGGTCAATTTCATAAGTAATACTCCCTCCGTCCCACTCTCTTTGTCCACTTACCTTTTGGCACACCATCCAATACACTTCTTTAATCCATTTTATCTTGTAATTTGTATATTAAAAAATTATAGAAATTATATATTAATAATCTATATGTTAAGACAAATCAAACAAGATCACACATGACTATATTTAGGCTTACATATTGAGAGAATTTGATGAGTCAACGTGCTTAGATGAACAATTCCAAAAGTTAAAAGTGGACAAAGAGAGTGAGACGGAGGTAGTAATTAATGTGAGGACAATGTATAGATTATTAAAATAGTTCGAATGTATATATAAATAATCCATCTATCACAATCTTATAATCAAGATATATTAAATCCAAGCTACCATTAACCAAACTATCAAAAATTGTTGAAGAGTTCAAGTAACTTAGCTTGAGAGCGTATTGTGCGTAGTTGGCCTTGCTGAAACCCGACCCAACCATGCACAGTTGTCCTTCCTCAAATATTACCTAAGTGGTCCTTCTTTTATGGGTACCTTTCCACAAATAGTCTTTTTTTTATCTTTTATCATGTTGGTGTTAATTTGAAGGCTAAAAGTATAATTTCACAATGATAATTTATCTTTTTTGTCATACACAATTCTAAAGGCTGTTCCGTTAGCGTCGTTTGTGAATTACAGTCGCTTTTTATGACAACTATAGTCTACAAATGTGATCTTTCGTCAGAATCTTAGCCCACAATCATAGTCATTATTTTTGTGTTATCCGCTTAACCAATATCAGAACACATCGAACTTCTCCCCTGGCTTGAGTGGTAGCAAGCCCACTCCCCAGGATTCATGGGGAAGTTCACCCAGGTTCGAGCCCCAGCGAAAGCAGTAGCATTGACTCTTTGTGCGTCATTAGTCATTAGCTTGAGAATAGTATGAACAGATACTACCTTGTAATAGAGTCAATTGCATTCAAAAAAAAAAATATCAGAACACGTCACTAGACATAATGTTGACGTCAAATTATACTTTTAGCCTTTAAATTAACACCAACATGACAGAAGATCAAAAAAAGGACCATCTGTGGAAAGGTACCCTTAAAAAAGGACTACGGGGTTAATATTTGATAATAGAGGACTAAATATGGAAACACCTCTATTATAAAGGACCAAATATAGAATTTACTCTATTAAAATCATGCTAACAAAATATATTAAAATTTATCTGATTCTGTAAAGATTTAAATAATTCTTTGACTTTACACAATGTGTGAGTTCAAAATAATTTATCAAAATCTTTAGATTTTAGATTGCTAAGCTGGGTGCCCGTCCCTCCGTAGACCTACAAGCCTGAACGGCGACGGAACGTGCTTTTCCCTTGATCAGTATCAGGGAACCAGGATGATCTTCATGCTCTGATTTAAACCCCTAAATTATAACAGTCGCCAAAATGGAGTCTCCTACGCCTGATCTCAACCACGAAGCTTCTTCTCCTCACCGGGCTATGGTTTCGTTTCACAATTTCTTATATTTAATTCTCTTCCTTTTCTTCTTGGATGAACTTCTGACAAATATATTAATTATATAGTGGCTGGAGTCTGAGAATTTGCTATATAAAATCTCATGTTATTGTTTTCTTTGAATCCATGTTGTATTGTATCTGAATGTAATAATGGTAGATTGTTTAATGTAGAGGGCCTTTGAGGTTAATTCTTTTATTCAAAACCTCATTGACTGCTTATCATTAACATTGTAACAAGCTGCGTCAATGCATTAAAGAAGTAGAATAAGGCCATGATATATAATGTATGTACCGGCATGCTGCATTGGGTTTTCACAATTGAAGACCAACTTGAAATTGACTTAAATCAAGCTTGTTTAATGAATCCTGATTAAAGAATCATTCTGAAATTGGCTTAAATTTACCCTTTTTTAAATTTTATGATCCTAAAACCACAGAAAAAATAATAGGGTGAAGTAAAACTTGAAAAGTTTAAAAGTGCTACTGTTACGTAGTGTGCTACTTCCACTATTTTAATGTCACCTTTCAACTCTTAAGGTGTCAAGTAAAGAAGATGATTTGTTGACATTGAAGAGAAAGAAAGGAGATCACAGGAAGGTGGAAGGGAGCAAGAAAAAGAATAAAAGGGGAGCTGCGTATATTCGGCCAGCTTGTTCTTGGGTGCATTTTAGGTAACAAGTTTATTGGTTGAGTTCAATATATTTTACACCCTTCCATGTTTTTTACGCTCTAGAAGATGACGCCTTCATAGTTCATACTAACTTTTACATTGTTCTCAGCGGTGAATTTATTAAAGAGTACAGTGCTTCACATCCTGAATCATCTGGCCTGAAAGCTGTAAGTGTCCTCGCTTAGCTCTAAACCTGTAGATGAGTATGTTTGATTTTCCTTTCATTAAGGGAATTGATGCTCGTAATGTATCACTCACTGCGGGTATCATTGGTATGCACACAGGCCACAAAAGCAGCATCAGATGCTTGGAAGTTGATGATCCTTGAAGAGAAAGCAAAATACACAAATCGAGCCCGCAAAGTATGGGATGAACACTTGAGCTCTGCCCCGCCTCATTCTCCAAAGCAAAAGAAACAGGTCATTTTCTTTACTCTCTGGTTCCCCTTTAGGGCGTCTTTGGTAGGAGGGAAGATGAGGAAGAAAGATTCCTTCCTCTCATTCAGTTTAAAAGATTTTTAGGGTGGGGAAGCCAAAATTTCTCCTCCACTCCCTTCAACATTTGGAGAGGAGGGGAGGGTGGGAATATTTTGGCATCCCCACGCTCCAACCAAACACACCCGTAAGGCGTGAGACATGGTGAGCTCGAATCATTCACACCATTTCTTTTCTCGGTGGACCTAATGAAAATATAAAATACACGAGCTCATAACATAAGCAAGTAGTATTTAGCTGCATATTTTACAACATAATAGAAATCTTACCATACGAAATGCACTCAATAATGCTCACACCCCAGACGCACTACGTGTCAAGCTTAATACTCAAATAGTGAACTTTTGAAGCTTTGGATGTTCATCTCCACATGACTCCCACCAATGTGTTGGATGTTTCTTATCAAGTGTCTTTCTAGCCATCGAAGTACTAAATAAGTTGATATGTTTCTTAGAGTCCTAATTGAACATCAATCTTAGTTTGTTCCTCGAGACTAGGCATCGTGCTCATTATAGAAGTATATAACCCCCCTTTAACTTCAATAATGGCTTTAAAGTCGGGGCTATAATGCAATTGAGGGTTTGAAGTTGATTGTCACATCTGTCATCAATAATGTTCCACAAGGGCTTATAACTAAACACAAAAGTACATCACTTAAATCTTAAATGATTTATCTAAGTAGACAAACATCAATAAAAAAATTACAACTATGTGAGCTTCTCCCTTGGCTTGAGTGGTGGGAAGCCCACTCCCCAATGGGGAAGCTTACCCAGGTTTGAGTCCCAGACGAGGCAGATGCATTGACTCACTGTGAGTCATTAGGTTGAGAAAGTATGAACAAATTCTACATTGTAATCAAGTCAATAGCACTAAAAAATTGCAACGATACCTTCTGACACCTTAGAAAGTTGTTTGTAACTTTTCTTTTGCTTGGCCCATTGCCTCGTATGTGAACCCCATGACAAGTTTATGATCAGAATAAACCTAATAAAGCACCTTAATGAGAGGTAATGCACCCCTTAAACAAGTTACTTTTTTTCTTTCATAAACTCCTTATCTAGCACAATCTCTTCAACAACCTTTCCATCCTTTGTTATTGTACACTTATTTGACCTTCATTCTTGCGGTGTTAACATTCTAATCAAAACACTTTTATTTTCATGAAAACACCCAAAGTTAAATAAAAGGTAGCAAAGCGAGTCATGCCCGGTCTCACCAAATCCTTTGTAAAGTTGTGTAATAGAGGAATTAGAAAAGTCTCCTAGAATAAATGTAGGTTGTAATTTTCGACTGTTAGGAATTGTCTTTACATGAATAAGAATTTTCTTTTCAAAGTCTACTAGCATGAGATCAATGCAAGTCTTCAATATAACCTTTTTCGCTTCCCCATCAACATTTCACGAGCAGCTTTGTAGTTGCTGTGGCATTTTCCGTCACAATTTGAATGGCATTTTCCTCACACACGTCTTCAATGGCCTCATCCATCATCTTAAAGAGCTTGTGTGCTATTTGACTATAGCAGCAGCATTAAGCAATTTTAAGAAAATAGTTCCCTCCCTTAGGGTTGTTAGCTATACAATTTATTAGTGTCCTAGTTTTTGTCTCTCCAACCATCGGTCATTACAGAGCACCGCATTTTCTTCCATTCGCTTCTACGTTCATGGTTCATTCACAATGTTTTGTGTCAAGCTTACTTTTTGTTTCAAATACTTCACTCTAATTTCATGATTTGACGATGACTTGAATCCTGGCCCATGTTTTGCTATCACTCCTATCAGAATACACATAATACGAAATTCTTCACTTTACAAGCTGAATGCTATGACATTATTGAAGTAAAACCTAGAATTTGCTTGACATTCATCCTCTCTCAAACTCTTCTCATGCATGTTATTCTTCTTTTATGAACAATATGGTCAGAATCATCATCCTCTTCTTCCATTTGCCTTTTCTGTTTAAAGCCCCACATTTTTTGCTTTGCCCAATCCATGACACTTTTTCAAGCACCTATATTATTTTGGTGTTCTGGCAAAGTGATGGTTCATATTAAAAACACCTGTTATTATTATTTTGCTACAATCATTGCATTGTAGTTGCGTATTACTTCCAGTAACAAATTTGCAATGTTCCCAAAGCACACCCATTTTCTATCTAGGAGCTTTTCTTGCTATTGGTTTGGTAAAAGGCACGGTTGAAGAGGGGAGTGACATCATAGTCCACATTGAAGTGAAAAAGAATATATAAGCTGGAGTAAAAGAGAGGTGGGAATTGTTGTTCACTTGTACTGTAAAACAACAAAATTGAAGAATGCCGCACTCTACAAAATAAGAAAAAAAATACATGGGTAGAAGAATAAGAAAAAAATGCCTTGGCAGGCAGAAGGCAAGCAAGTCGTAGAGCGCAAAACAAAGGTAATATCTCAGGAGTAGTAGTGTGAACAAATAGAAGGGTTATTTATACAAAGAACCCATTTCAATAAGAGTTATTTCCATTTCCTTTGGATACCAAGAGTCGCGTAGACCAATGCTTGGAATTTCTAGCATGTGTTTCTCGTTCCAATGATTTGCGTGAGTTAAATCGATCTTACCGATGTTATGATCTTACTTGGCGATTTGTACGATTCAAAGGAAGTTTCGATCTTTGCTATTCAGATTGCAACCCCTAGGTCAATTACTCAATTTAGTGAATCACACATTTCAACGCTTTGGGCATGAGAGTTTGACTAGCTTGCCCCAGATTTCAAGGGTATATAGAGAGGCATATCTAAACCTGTTCTGAGACAAGCTTCCTCCAATACTATGACTACTACTAGAGAATTAAACGAGAAATAATGTAAACAAATATAGTTACTCAAAGTAGTCCCTCCATTTCAAAATGAACTTGACACTTTGACTTCAAAGAGTTTAAGAAAAGCGTTGAAAAGTGAAAAGTGGTGGTTGAAAATTGTTTACAAGAGAGGAATAGTTTAAGCCACATTTATTTTCCTTAAAAAGAAAAAGTTGACATGTATTAATTCAGCTGTTTTAACAACACATCCATTGAAATCCCACAAAGTGGGGGTGGGGCGGGTAGGTTTATGCAAACCTTACCCCTATGTAGAAAGTGTAGAGGTTGTTTTCATGAGACCCACAACTTAAAAAACAGAAGAACCCGATTAGAACAAATTCATTATGACTCACCTGTTATAAGGTTTTGTTTAATCTCATGCCGACTCAAGCAGCAAGCCTTTCTCAATCCTTGGACATATGTGCTAATAGCTTCCTTCTTTAATAGGGAAACAACCTTCTTGTTTTGAGTCCTGACTCAAGGAGTACTCTTCGTGTGACTGAAGAAGAAATGGGCATGAGCTAATACAAAGTAAAGGAAAGTATGGCAAGTTTAAATTGCAGGCCTTTCACTAAATATATGTCCTTTTTTATTTGGCATATTCTTACATAGTAATATAACCCCCCCAGACAGCATAGTAAATGCCTAAAGGCCCTAGTTCGACACTTTTTAAATATTTCAAATTATTTAATGCAAAATCACACTTGGTTCTGTTTGTTTTTAGTTCTTGTTTTCTTTTACATTAAAATGTTCTCTATCATAGTTTTATTCATTAGAAAACCGACAAATGTTGGACAGAGTAAGTTGGTGACAAGATGCTCCCCTGGCCGTTTGCTACATGTTTTACAACGGCTCTCACCAGACCAGAGGGATTCTGTAAAGAGCATGGGATTTGGCAGTATTCTTGGTCTGAGATGTCGGACACTTCGGCAGAGTCTGTGTCTTTGGCTGTTGGAAAGATTCAATGCGGTAAGGTGCAGTTTAGAAGTTTGTGGTGAGAGGGTTCCTTTAACCCCACGGGATGTGGAACTCGTAATGGGATTAGCAGCCAGTGGGGAAGATGTGGTAAATTCAGGACCAGATGAATCAATTCTAGAACTACGTAAGAAGTACGGAGCTACAAATCGTGGCATTTCTGTGCGCCTTTTGGAGGAGCGGATGACATCTCTAGATTCAGGAGAAGATTTCAAGAGATCGTTTGTGCTTTATGTATTGGGAACTCTCTTGTGCCCTACTGCAAGGTTGGATGTTAGCCCTTCATTTCTCCATTTCTTGACAAATATGGATTTGATCCACCAGTACAATTGGGCAAAGTTCTTGCTTGATCGGTTAGTACGTGAGGTTTCTCGCTTTCGTCAGGGAAAACAGCGTGCAGTCGGGGGCTGTCTTCTGTTTCTCCAGGTTTTTTTTAGCAACTCATATTTGAAAATGTTTGTATATGGAGTTTCTGCACCTCAGATTTTACCCCAACATTTGACTTTGCTCCCCATTTTTGTTTTCCTTAACTATGCACCACAAAGTGTGGTGTGAAGTGTGAAGTCAAATATTAAGGCAAGTCATCAGGTGCCCGTTCCACACAAAATTATAAAACATGGGATGAAAAGACCAATTTTACCCTCATTTTTTCTTCTTGCTACACTTACAAAAATGATATTTATGTTGGTGTTTCTGTATGGGTTGCAGCTATTTTACTATGAGAGTGTTGCAGTCAGAGCAGTATATGAATTAGCCCCTGTTGCTTTTCCATGTTTATTCTCGTGGGGTGAAGAAGAAATTACTGACAGAGAAAAACGAGAAAAAGAGATGGGAGGTTATGGGAACGGCGAGGTAGCATTTCAAGCTTGACACACACAGATATATACATACACACACGCCACTACATTATCAGATTATTCAAATTTTCATGTTTAATTGCAGTGTGTCTGCAAAGAAAGAGGACTCGGGATGGGTCCAGTGGGATACCGTGCACAGAGCGATGGTGATGTGCTTAGGAGAACAGGTCCAACAGATGAGGTTTGTCTCAGACACATAAAAGAGTTTGAAGTATTAAACCTTATCATGCAGTTTGCACTCTAGTGTTACAACAACGAGAAAACCCACTATAATCCCATCTTTTTTGGGGTCTAGGGTAAAAATAACGTAACCCTTCCCAAAACATCACCCCGAATAATCTTTTACTCCATTGGGGGTCAAGATGTGCGTAACCTTATCATAGTTATATACAGAGAGAGACTGTTTCTGCTATAGTAAGAAGCAAATGATGCTTAATGTGCCAAGTTGATTTAGTTTATTGTTTACCATAAGCTAAAGCATTGTCAGTCTTTTAGCTCCATTGGGAATGGATGCATTGCATTATAAATTATAATGTTACATGCTTACATACTTTATGCTTTAGCCCATTGTTTACTTGCTCTATTCAACTTTTTGTTATCCATATTCCGCAATCAAGTTTCCAATAGCTTCTAGACTCTAGATTTTAGTTAAAATTAGAACTATTTTCAGACTTGACACTCAGTCTCCAGACTTTAGGTTCCATTCTTCAGACTTAAGATTCCAATTAACAGACTTAACTCTTGTTAAAATTAAGGTGTATAGAACATGCCCTTTAGTTCAGATGGTTTTGGGGCACTTCAGTGAGGTGTTTTTTTCCGGCTAAGTTATAGCTTGTGTGTGGAATGTGGGGTTATTTTGGATTTGGTTCTCCAGCATTAATACATTTTTTTGTGTACACCTTTTAGCTTGATTGTTTTAAGATTCTTTTTAATTTTTACTGAAGCTACCAAATTGCTGAATTATACTTTCTCTATCCCAACTCCCATTGTGTTTGTCCACATGCTTTTTGGCTTACGGACCAAGAATATGAGAAAACAGTTAAAAGATGACCAAAATGTTCTATCTTGGTGCTGGAGCATTTATTAAGTGAAGTTGAGATTTAGGCAAAAGAGACATGACATTTACGGAGTATTACTCTTCCACAAATGGAAAGTGGATGTATACACCGGGTTGACTACTTTCCTATCAACATTGGGGCTGTCTCAAATTGAAGAACTTGTGTCTTTCAAGTTTTCTCTTTTGTTCTAAATAAACTTTAAAGAAATCACCAAAAATAGGAGTAAAACATAGAAAAAATACCAAAGTAGGAGCTCAATGTTTTTATCCCAAAATACGAGTTTGCACTATGATAATTTTGGTATTATATATTGGCATTATAACTCCTATTTTGGGAATGAAAATATATCTCTTATTTTGGTACTTTTTCTATGTTTTAATCTTATTTTGGTAATTTTGCCCAAACTTTAACCACACATTTTTTTTACTTTTGAACACTTTTCTTTGAGTCTGTGAAGTCAGAGTGTTACTTCTCCATCCCAAAATCTTTTCATTTCCTTTTTTGGCACACACTTTTACCCTCAGCAATCTACACACACACACACACACATGTAAAGAACATGAAGTTTTTTCCCGTGCGTGGTGATGATTCTTTTTATGTGCCAAAATTGCGGAATCCAGAGCAATAAGAATGACCTCTGTCCCTTTTTTAAGTCTTACCTAAATAATTCTGTTTTTCTTACAAGAAAAGAATTGCGTGGTTGATATTGATTCCTCCCTTTGTAAGTAAACCGCAACCACAAAATTTCATTTTCTTTAACTTTGCAAAGTCAAATGAGGTAATAAAAAACGGGACAGAGGGAGTATTAATCACAAACTTTGCCAAACAGAGCTGGTGTATTTTACCCCTTGCTCAATTATTAGTTGCATTGATGACTTGGACATGTTTACTTTGTAGGATTTGGATGGTCAAGCAAATGAAGAAATACATGTGGAGGTAATGTAGCCTTCACATCTAAAAATTGGTTCCATGGTTTAAAAATTTCCTGAAAAAACGTGTTCCTGAATTTCAGAAATCTAACAAATGGCGCTGAAGTCTTTCATAAATTATGTATATGGTTTTGAAACTTCTCCGTAGTTGCAGAAACCTGGCCAAAATGCTTTGGGTAGGTTTTGATACTCGAAACCTGGCCAAAATGCTTTGGAAAACTACTTATTTACATGAATGCTTTGCTTGGGTCATGTTGTTCTTGATTATCTTGGAAACAACTTCCACAGTAGACATACTGGGTCTGTTTGGTTTGGTTCATGAATGCATTTTTTTGAAATCTTTGATCAGGAACAATCTCCCATGGACATGGCTGCTAATTCCAATCACGCCCCATGTGGAAACACAAGATATGGATGCTTGGTAACCATGGATTGTGTGAACAACAAAGACCATCTTGAGTTCTGCACATATGCACCATGCCTATGCCCTATTAGGACTTGCGACTTTACAGACTCGTCCAAACAGCTCTCCCATCATTTCAGCAGCTGCCATTGGGATTCAGGCAGACGCTTCAGATACGATTCTCCTTTGCGCGTAAGCTTGGGGAAGAAGGAACCCTTCCTTGTGCTGCAAGCCGAAGAAGATGGGATGCTGTTTCTGCTGTCCAAGGAAACAGAGAGCGTCGGGTACCGGGTCACGGTCACCAGCATTCGCCCGACCACCACAAGGACCCACTACTCGTATGATATTGTTTCGGGAAAGGGGGGCAGCTCTTTGCGGCTGCAATCGGTTGCCCAGAATTTCCCGGGCAGGATCGAAGGGTTTCCCCAGGATTTCCTTTTGGTTCCTTTTACCTACACAAATAGTTGTGGGGAACTAGAATTAGATGTCTGTATATGGAGTTCCCCGGGTGCAAACTCCATCTCGGATGTACCTTGAATAAATCTTTACAAACTGTATAGCCTGTTGGTGTCCCTTTTTTTATATTTATATTTTTACTATATCGAAGGTAAATAGTATATACTCCATACCACTAACTAGTGAGTAACTAGTATTTCACTCATGTGTTGCACTGGGAATATATAAATTCTATAATTTGAAATTAATATAAAACGTACCCCTTATGTTCTAAATAGGAGCAACATGTTTTTTTGCCGCAATATAAGGCTTAAATTAATTTTTAATTTTAAAAAAATCAAGTTGTATTGGTATATTGCTATCTGCTCTCCTCCCTCCTGCACCTAAATGGAAATGTTGTGCTCATTCTGAAGTGCAAACACAAGAAAGAAATTAAATATGGAGTATAATACTTTTGTTATTGCAATAGTTGAAGGAAGTGGACTATGTTTTCTACAACCAGGTCATCTTAGTAACTCCATATTATTTTTGATGTTTAATTATTTTTTGATATTATATATCGACATATTTGACATTTTTCAGTGTCATTTTTGTCCATCTACATTAACATCTTTGGCATTATTGTTTCGTCTAACATTGTATGCTGACACAGCAGTGCGAAAATTGGAAATGGATCAGTCCAGAATTTTTAATGGAGCATGATTTTTTTTTAAAAATAAATCTTTATCCTATTTATTTATTCTATTTTGAGAATAAAAAAATGCGAGCCATAGCTTGATTCTTTCTTCATATTTTAGCTCTATTTTGATATTTCGTCCTATGGAGTATCTTGGCCTCTTGGGCTTATTTTTTGGTCACAATTTCGCCTATATTTTGAGCCGATTTGAGGCCAATTTTTTGGTCAAATCAAGCACTTTTTGGCTGATTTGAGACCAATTTTGATATTAGACCATTTTGGGTTGGACTGTTTTTATGGTCATATTTGGGTAAGTTCAAGTAATATTCATGCTTGGGCCCAGTCTAATAAGAAGATCAGACCCAATTTTGGTCTCCAGCCCGCCTTCCTCCCTTTCTAATAAAACAAGACCAGCCGAACAAGGTTTTTCGCCGAGCATTTCGCCGCCGATCCGACAGTCGCCGGCGAGTGGGACGAAACCGCCCAGTCAGACGCTTTCTCCAATTTGATACGTCACCACCGACTTAGGGGTTAACTCTCGATCGGCGCATACTAGGTATTTTCCGTCCAGCTTTCATTTTCTATCGATTAATTCCTTCGGTTTTCAGATTTTACTCTCAGTTTCTCTTTCCGAGCTGTTTTTGAGATTAACTGTTGATTGAATTGCGTTTTGCATCTTCTTCTCGAACACTCGATATACATGTCTTGAAATTGAGCTCGATTTAATATCATGAACTACTCCTGCCCTGAGAATTCATAGGCCTTGGCCGAAACAGAAAAGATTTCATTTTTTTTTCTGTTTTCATATCAATTCGTCAATTTTTCAGTTTTTATTTTTTTTCGGTTTTCAGTTTTTTTAATATAAATATATCATAAATTATAAATAACAAATTCAAACAAATTCATTCAAATCAAATAAATAACATATAGAACCATTAATTCATTCTATTTCAAAGAATGAAATTAGAAAAGGTTTCAAATTAAAAAACAATAATTAACCCTAGATTTTAAATCTAAAAAATGAAACAATGAAAGAAAATTAAGAAATAAAAATTACAAAATTGGAAAGCTATGAATATGGAATACCTAGAGGCTGGAGGTCGGCGTCCGGCGACGTCCTTCCGATTTCGTTCTTCGGCTTCTTCCCAATCGTCTGTCTTTGGCTCTTTCTCTTTTTTTTGTCTTTTCGGCTAGACTCTAGAGTAAGGTGATGGGGACTGGGCCTTAAATGGGGTGGGCTTCTTATATACATGCATCTGTGTGTGTGTGTGTGTGTGTAACTCCTTCGTTCTCCACTTTCGAATTTCCAATCCAAAAACTAATTCCAATTAATTTTGAATATTAGCAATTTATGTGTAATTTTATTTTTGCATTGTATTTGAGCATTTTGCTAACTGTTATGAGTTCAAGTTGATTTTATTCGATATCTGTTGATTTAATTCATATTTTTTTGTGTTAAATTTAAATTTTTTTTTATAAGTTGAACACCTTCTTTTGATTCCTTAATGTAAAATTCATTCGCTATTACCACAAGATACCTATAGTTGGTTATTGATATGGTTAGTCTTTAACAGTATTCCTCAGTCTTCACAACTCCATTCCTTCATTTTGTTAAAAGCAACGGTTTTCTAACTTCTAACACATTAAAAGAAATTATGGAGTATAAGATATTGGCAGTTGCACCTTGAGAATCTCAATGCAAAGCCCCACCAATGCACTACAGTCTACTTCTATATTTGTTACTAGGTACTTTTTTCCTTCAGTTAAGGCGGGAACAATCAACAAGTAAACTGCTTCATTATATATGAGATAGATCTTTGAAAACTTGTGTTGATTTTGCCTTTCAACACTGGCTGCCTCAGAGATGGGAAAGGAGATGAATAAGGAAAACAGCAATAGCCAATTCTCTCCCTCAACTGTCTTTGTTTCCAACTTGCCTTACTCCTTTACTAACACCCAGGTAGCTTCTATCTGCCAACCCAAAAGAGTTTTTTCTTCTATATCCACATATTTGTATATCTCAACATGTACTGCTGCTCATTTTCTTCTTCTTTTGGGGGTGATAAAACAGCTTGAAGAAACTTTCAGTGATGTTGGCCCGATCAGAAGATGTTTTTTGGTAACAAAGAAAGGTACTCCCTCCGTCCATAAACCATGTCCCACTTTGACCTTGCACGGGAATTAAGAAAGTTAAAATTGAGTGGTTGATATTTGATGTGAACATAAACAAAATAATATAATTCACGTATTGCTTTCTTAAAAAAGGAATGGGATAAATATAGGGACACTGAGTATCAAGTATAAAGCTACTGTTTACATTACCCCATCAATGGAGGGACAAGTAAACGGCAGTGGGAATTAATTTCCACCATTACTATCCATCTTCCTTTCTAGCTTTCATGCCTCCTTCGGTAGGATAGTTCCAAGGCGATCCATACACACACACACACACACACACACACACACTAAACTTTGGACAAAAAAGGAAAGTGAAAGATAATTTAGAGTCATATGGAGTGTGTTCTAGGAAATTAGTGCTTAACTAATGGAATGTGTGCTTTTATAATATCTGAACACAGGGTATAAGGTAGTTGGGCAGGCGCTTTAGGTTAGGTGGTAATTTATCCACTTGTTATGTGCTCTGTATGCCTGGTGCTTTCTGCCTCTGTGCTTCTTTATTTTTCATCATTAACATGAGTTTGCCCTTTGCCTCCTTGTGCTCTGTTCTTTCCATGCTTTATGTCCTTTACGTGTCTTCTGTGATCTTATATTATCTTATGATATCTGTCTTGGAAATAGGCTCTGTACTTCCCAGTAGGGGAAAGGTCTGTGTACCCCCCCCCACCCCCCCACCCCCCACCTTACTCTCGTGGGATTTAACTAAGTTGTTGAGCACAATTTTGATACACCTAACTTGCTAAACTTTAGATAAAACTCATCATTCACATGTAATGTTTTTGTTTAATTTCATGCAACAAGAAGGGAAAATATTATGGAGTGTTAATTGTTTGACCTTCTACTGCACAGGGTCTACAGAGCACCAAGGCATTGGATTTGTTCAATTGTAAGCCTATCACCATTTTGCAACTGAAAGCAGTTCAGTTATTGCTATGACATGATATACAGTTGTAGTTTTGTCTCTGTTTGCAAGTACAGTGCTAATGTTGAAGACGCAAGTCGTGCTATTGAGCTAAAAAACAATTCAAGAGTTGGAGAACGAAAACTTGGAGTCAAACATGCAGTGCATCGGGCCCCTCTCAAACAGCGTAAATCGAAGGGATCTCAAGGTTAGTGGCATTGAATTGTTTTTTGCATAGAAAATTTTAGCCTGGTAATAAAAATTGAAATGCTTGGATGCTTCTTTTTCATGCAGATGAGGCGCCTCATAAGGACAAGAATGAGACCTTGCCCGATGCATTAGTCAAGCCCGAACAAGATCTTAACTCTCAAGCAACAGGTTCATAACTATGATATATTGATATGCTCCTTAAAGGGTTTGACCATGGAGTACTTTTTAGTATTTGACACTGCGGAAGGTATAGGTAAACATAGAAGAAAAAGAAAAGCTACAGAGCTTTGCACTGGCCTGCCTGATGAAAAGAGTTGTTCAGAAAAGCAGAGGTACCCACTAGTCCACTACCCCACTTTCTAACTGCTGTAAATGATATAAATATTGATATTAGATCTGGATTTTATACCCTTCAAAAAAAAATCTGGATTATATACTTATTAAAAATTTATATATGTTGTACTGTCACAATCTCTAACAGGGTTGCCAGGACAGTCATAATTGGAGGTATTCTTTCTGCCAATATGGCAAAGGAAGTTCATAGTCTCGCTAAAGGCTGTGGCACAGTATGTTCCATTACCTATCCTCTTCCAAAAGAAGAACTTGAATATACTGGTAATACTTTTAAATATAATAAGTTCTGCTCTTAAATATTTCTCTTTCAGTATTCATTTTTTTCTCTATTTCTCTATTACTCTATATTTCTCTCTATTTGTCTGAGTTATGTGTTTCATTAAAATGATCGGTTTTAAAAAGTCACTTATCAGCACTGGTCACTATTTAATGCTCAAGTAATCTGCCATGTTGTATCAACTTATACTCCTAATTGCAATTTTGTTTTTTTTGGAGTGAATTAGGGTTGGCTCAAGATGGTTGTAAAATGGGCGCTTCATCGGTGCTTTATACTAGTGTTAAATCTGCTAAAACTTCTGTTGAAACATTACATAAAAAAGAAATACACGGAGGAATTATATGGGCGCGCCAACTTGGTGGAGAGGTAAAATTTTCACTTAAGCAAATAGTTCAGAATATGATCTGTGGGTTTCCTCCACAATCATGAATTTCGCGGCTCGGATTTTTTTAAAAATACAATTAGGGTTTTCAGTTTCTATTGCTTAATTTCTTTGTTTTGTTTTTTGCTGACGATTTTTCTTGGATGTTTTCAGCCCCCATCTCCCGGAGCATTGTAGTTATGATTTATTAGAAAATGTGAATGTGATCTATACTCCTATCCAACTTAAGTCTGATATAAACTGTTTTACACTTCATTCATTTTCTCCATTATGATCTCCATGCTTATGTGGCACTTATTTATTATACATCTCTAACTGTGTAACTATTTTGTAAGCTTTAAGTTTATCTGTGGTCATTTTTTTTAATTTTATGCCAGGGTTCCAAGACTAATAAATGGAAACTAATAGTGAGGAATATTCCGTTTAAGGTTACTTTTTATTTCCATCATTTTATCGTAGCCTTATGCCTTTGTGCAGTGTAAGGATTAGCCGATTAAGGTAAAACATTAATTTTAAGTTTGTTAAAACTTAGTGCAGGCCACAGTGAATGAAATAAAGACCATGTTTTCAACTGTTGGCTTTGTATGGGATGTATATATTCCTGAGAATGCAGAGACAGGGTACAATTCAACCTGTGAATACTTTGCGATTCCTATTAAGTATTAACATCTCTTTTGATTTCGTGCTACTTTGTTATGTTGCAATTTGCAGTTTATCCAAGGGATTTGCATTTGTTAAATTTACGTCCAAACAAGATGCAGAAAAGGTACACGTCTTATTTGACACTTTCTTTACCATACATACCTTTAACTCTACGTATGCGTTAATGTAATACTTCTCTGTCCTAAATTTTTTTCTCACTTTCTTTTCTGGGTTGTTCTAAAATTTACTTCTTGTTTCCTTTGGAAATATTTATGTGGGTCGTATTTCTTCTCTCACTTCTAAAGCATGTTCTATCTCACAATTTCACTTTTTTTAATTATTGTGCCAAGTCAACATGGGAAGGAAGTTTTAAGACGGAGCGAGTATTCAAGAGTTTCTGCCAAGATTTGGAGAGAAGTGTGGGTAAGGTCAACAAAAGTGGCAAATATATAAAGATGACAACTTAGGCTTATGAAGTGAGCAAAAATTTTAAGCACTTTTACTTGATACTCTACCCGGGGAAATAAGAGTATAAGACTTTGACCCTTAATACGGAGTATTAGAATCACAATATTGTATTATGCTTGTTTTTTTAAAAACCTTTTTGTAGTTAGAAGAATAGTCTACAACAACCCAGTAGAATGCCACATAGAAGAATAGTCTAGTATGTTTAAATTGTTTTATAGTTCACTTTTTTCTTTCATATGATAGCTGAATTTTTTAAAAAAATAATTGCAAAATAATTAGTTTTTACCAAAATGCAAAATATAACTATATAATTATTTGTCAATACATTTTATCCTCTCTAAATATATCAAGAGCTCTATATTTGCATAATTGCATTGCAGTATGTAAACATCATTCATAGTTCACTAACCAGAACCGTTTTAACTAATCTTCTCCTTTGTCTAATGTTCATTGCATATTTTGATTGTATTGTCACTTGTTAGACTACCCACCTCTAGTTAAACTGCTAAACTTTATCTAATATAGTTTCTATCTATGTACTCATGTGTTTTAACCTTATAATCTATTTGCTTTATTTTCTCCTAATAATTGGATGTATAGGTTATTAAGACTTTCAATGGAAAGACTTTTGGTAAAAGACCTATTGCTATTGATTGGGCTGTACCCAAAAAGGTTTATGTTGCTGATAATCAACCTGCTGCAGCTTTAGAGGATGGTAAATTTTTTCCACTGTTGCATTTATGCACATTTGCTTGCATATGGGAATGCTTGATCGGGTAGAAATAAGAATGGTGCATTTTTGGTTCATCGCGTTGCATGATTGTTTTGAAAGCAGTGCATATTTCGCGATAGCAGAAAAGTTCCACTTATTTACTAAAATGCCGTTCTGTTTTTTCAATATTCTTCTCATTCTTCGTTTTTTTGTATCCCTTAGATGTTAAATCCAATGGGTCATCTGCATTCTCATTTCTCTCATGGTGCATCATTCATTTGATCCTAATATGGATGGTCATTACATGGGCTAAAATCTATTGTCATTATATGGTCTAAAATGGTGTTATCCTAATAGTGTCTTGTGTATGAGAGGTTATATGTTTTGTCTTGCATACATTTAAATTCTGTTCAGTACATATATCTACATAGGACATATCGTTGGTTGAATTTTGTTCTTACAGGACGACCAAATGAAAGCGATGGAGATGATGACAGCAGTGTTGATTTGGAGGATAAGGAAATGGAGATTGATGGAAAATCCCAACAGGTTAATAGTAATGAGATTGAAGAAACAGAACTAGACGATGATATTGTTGATGAAGAAGAAGAAGTAGAAGTAGAAGATAATGAAGAAGAAGAATATGAAGAAGGAGAAAAAGAGAAAGATGAAGAAGAAGAAGAAGAAGAAGAAGATGGTGATGATGGTGGTGGTGATGATAAAGAAAAAGACACACATCCAGAAGTTAATGTTGATACGGAAGCAAACATTGCAAGGAGAGTTCTTGAAAATTTTATGTCATCTACTTTTAAGGGGACAACAAATTCTTTTCCAGCAGATGATTCTTCCGGCTTGCCCAATGCAGAAAAGGGTGAGGTTGGTGAAACACCAAAAAGTTCTAGCAAGGAGAAAATTGCCATGCGGGCTGAAGGAGTAGATGATCTGAAACAGACAATTTTCATAAACAACCTTCCTTTTGATGTTGACAATGAAGAAGTAAAAGAGCGTTTTTCTGCATTTGGAGAAGTGGAGTCCTTTGTTCAAGTTCTTCACCAAGTCACCAAGTATAATTTCACTTTTCAGTATAGTGCTTATTAAAAGCATTTTTCTGCATTTCGAGAAGTGGAGTCCTTTGTTCAAGTTCTTCACCAAGTCGCCAAGTATAATTTCACTTTTCAGTATAGTGATTATTAAAAGTTGGCCTTGGCAGGTTTAAAATGGTTAAGTTAGAGTGAGAACAAAAAATCTGGATTTATTTTCCTGCTAACCGTACAAACATTTCAATTTTTTATAGTACACTTAACCAATCGATATGAAAAATCTGTCATTGGTACAGTTAAGGTTAACCAAAAAGCATACAACAAAATATGTCTAAAATAGGAAATATTAACTTATTTACATAACTGGTAGTTTACACATAGTTAAGAAAGCTTTTAACAAGTGATCCATGTTTGAGTCTCATGCAATCTGGCAATGTGTGTCTAAAGTTTTAATTGATTGTATATTGTGCTAATTATTGAAATTTACAACTAATTAAAATTTGACTAATTAGGCATGAAAACAATTTTCTACACACGCATATACATAAGTACATACTATATACTAATAGTGTCAATTCTTAAAATTCAGCAAAGGAGCAACTCTTCCGCTACTTTTTTTGCATTATTAGCTTATTACAAGACAAAACTGAAGGTTAGAAATGGGCTCTAAGTGTTGGTTAATTCCAGTCCAGAATTAAGTTTAGATTTAAAAATAAAAAAAATAGAGAGGCAGTTAGGCAGTTTTATGACAGTTTCCAACATATGTGTTGGTTAGAAACTGTTGTGTCTATTTGTAATGGTTGTGTTGCTTAGTCTTCTATTTATATGCATGGACACATAGTTCTGGATAGCAGTTCCACAATAATAAAACACTGTTTATATCCTCCAGATCTGATTTTTATTCTCTCTATTGGTATCAGAGCCCTGGTAAAAAAATAAAAAAAATCAAACACAGATCTACTTGCAATACACCTTAAAAACAATAGTCTGTGATGGAGGCCATCAATACTAAGAAAACAAACGATGTTGTTGCTGTTACCCCAGTTCGAGATGGAGGCTCGACAACGTACCAATGTCCTGTACTCACTACAACAAATTATACATCTTGGGCTATCAAGATGTAGTCGTTTATGGATGCCCAAGGAATTTCGGATGCCATAGAACCACCGGATACGACGGAGGTGGATGTCAAGATCCGGAAGAAGGCAAGGGCCTTTATCTTCCAGGCACTACCGGAAGACATTCTGATGCAAGTTGCAGGACATGCAGAGGCCAAGGACGTGTGGGATGCACTCAGGGTGCGTTATCTTGGAGCTGATCGGGTTAAACAAGCACGAATCCAAACTCTGAAGAGAGAGATTGAACTGCTGAGAATGAAGGAAAGTGAGAGTATTGATGATTTTGCAAGCGAGATCAGCAAGATCGTGTCTAAGGTTCGGGCACTTGGATCGACAATTGAGGAGAAGAAACAAGTAAATAAGTTGCTTAATTCTGCCACAAACAAGTTCCTTCCAATTGTTGCCACAATAGACAGTATTCAGACTTGAATACTATGGCGTTTGAGGAAGCTGTTGGTAGCCTTAAGGCCTATGAGGAACGGGTTACTCCTGGTGGATCAGTCAAAGATTCATCAGATCAATTGTTGTTAACAAGGGCTGAATGGCAAGAAAGGCAGAAAACTGAGTCAAGGCAGGCCGGCAGGGGTCGTGGAACAGGATTTATTGATCACCGTGGACGAGGTCCTGGGCGTGGCAGACCTAACGGGCATGGACGAGGGGGGCGAAATCCCTCAAATAATAATCGAAGTTTTGGACAGGATGAACAACGTGGTAAAAGAGTACCGAAGGATTATTGGGTGTCTTCGATATCTGACCCATACAAGGCCAGATATGAGTTATGCAATTGGAATAACCAGTCGATTCAAGGAGTCACCAAAAACATGAATATGCCACTGATCGGGCAGATGGAAAGAGTACAACTGGGATGATTTTCTATTATGGGGGTGGTCCGATAGCATGGTGCAGCCAAAAACAGAACACGGCTGCACTATCTTCATGTGAGGCTGAGTTCATGGCGGCAACGGCAACCGCATGTCAAGCTGTCTGGTTAAAAGGTTTGCTTGAAGAAATCACTGGTCAAAGCATGGAACCCATAACAATTCACGTGGATAACAAGGCTGCAGCCATGTTAATGAAGAATCCAGTGTTCCATGGGAGAAGTAAGCATATTGACACTCGATATCATTTCATTCGTGAATGTGTCGAGAAAGAGCTAGTAAGGATTGAGCATGTAAGTGGTGACGAGCAGAAAGCTAATATCTTGACAAAAGCATTACCAAGGGTCAAGTTTATCGAGATGAGGCAACTGATGGGCATTGAAGATTTGGCAGGAATGAGGACTGGAATCAAGGGGGTGAATGTTGGTTAATTCCAGTCCAGAATTAAGTTTAGATTTAAAAATAAAAAAAAGAGAGAGGCAGTTAGGCAGTTAGGCAGTCAGTTTTATGACAGTTTCCAACAGATGTGTTGGTTAGAAACTGTTGTGTCTATTTGTAATGGTTGTGTTGCTTAGTCTTCTATTTATATGTATGGACACATAGTTCTGGATAGCAGTTCCACAATAATAAAACACTGTTTATATACTCCTGATCTGATTTTTATTCTCTCACTAAGAGTAAATTTTCTAATTTCACTGTATGACTGTCTGTAAATGTCCATAGGAGACCAAGGGGTACAGAATTTCTCAAATTTAAAACAGTAGATGCTGCTGATGCTGCCCTTTCAGCAGCCAACACTGCTGATGGGTTGGGTATACTTCTGAAGGGTAGACAATTGAAAGTTTTGAAAGCCATTGACAGAAAATCTGCTCAGGATAAGGAGGTGGAGAGAACAAAAAAGGAGGAACATGACCATCGTAACCTTCATCTGGCTAAGGTTCATCCAGTTTATTCTCTTGCAATGCTGTCAAGTCAGTTTGAAATATGTGTGTGTGTGTCTACAATCTAAAATCTTTATTTACTATTTTATGTATTGCAGGAAGGACTTATTTTAGAAGGAACCCCTGCTGCTGAAGGTGTTTCAACCAGCGATATGTCAAAGCGCAAGATGTAAGCATTTAGCAAAAATGGCTTATCATTTTTAGTCTTTCTGAAAGAAAAAGGATGATATGCTTTTCATTTCCATGTTCCAATATTGTCATTGTGAGGTCGGTGATGTGGAGTTGATAGTGTGAATTAATTATCCATAATCAGTTAATACTGTTGATTCATTTAAATACATCTTTGTCTTCACTCTTCAGAGGCTTGGCCAAATTACTGAATGCCCCTCAGGACTTCTGAACATTACAAGTAAACCCATTGTCTAGTTAGATTTTCCGTGAGTGATATAAAAATGAAAGGATGTAGTGGTAATTGTAGGAAAACTAGGAATTGAAATTTTATCAGCTAAACACC